GCCCATGAGCCATGGGGGTGCAGTGTGGCCCCCAGGACCTGCCCCTCAGCCTCCCTGCAGGGGCTGCTCAGGGGTCACAGGGAGCGGGGGCTGGAAGCCATAGGAGCCAGCATGGGGGTCTGGGAGCTGCTGGCACTGGGGGTGCCCAGGGAGGGGCGAAGCTGGGACCCCAAAGTTGGGCTGCTTGCCTATGTATACCCCCTACCAGGTGCCTCCAGCCCTGCCCAGCCCTGCCTGGAGCCCCTCCTCACCCCATGCAGATCCCACCCCCGTGCCCCCCAGGACCTGCTCCCCCAGCTGGGGCCAACAGCCCAGGTGCTCCGGCCTGGGCAGAGGCTGCAGGCTCGGGCTGGTGTCTGGGCTGCAGGGTGGGAAGGTGCCCGGGTGCAGCACGGCTCCAGGCAGGAGCTGGACGGTGCTCTGGGGTGCCAAGCCCAAGCTTGAGGGGGCAATTCCCAGCCTACATTCATGCCCATTGGCGGCAGTGCCTGGCCTCTCCTCCCCCCACAGCATAACTCCCAGTGCCAGCTGTACCACACCCCAGAGCTGGGCGCATGTCTGCCCAGGGCTGGGAGGTCTCTGAGCAGCTACCCCTCTGCCCCCCATGTCTCCCCCTCTGGGCCTGTCTACCCCACCCCGGGGCCGCACCCCAGAAGTGGGTGCATCTCTGCAGGGGGCTGGCAGGGGGCTGGATAAATCAGCCCCTGCCGGAGGGGGTGCCAGGCCGGAGGCCCCAGGCTAACTATGCTGTCCTCTCTCTTTCTCTCTCTCCTGGCGCAGAGCATTCGGCAGCAGCAAAGACGGGCGGCTGCTTCCCGGCGGAGGCGCTGACGACGCTGGAGGATGGGTCACGGACTCCGGTGCGGGCGCTGCGCCCAGGGCAGCGCGTGCTGGCGATGGACACGCGGGGCCAGGCCACCTACAGCGAGGTCGTGGCCTTCCTGGACAAGGCAGCTGCAGCCCGGCCCGTCTTCCACGTGCTGGAGACCCGTGACCCGCCGCGCCGCCTGGCCCTGACTCCGTCCCACCTGCTCTTTGTGGCTGACAATGCCACGGCGCCCGCCTCCCCCGCCGTGTGCGCCCGGGCCAGTACGTGCTGGTGGCCGGGCTGGGGCTGGGGCTGCAGCCGGCGCGTGTGGAGACCGTGTCGGTCCGGACGGATGTGGGCGCCTACGCCCCACTCACCCGCCACGGGACGCTGGTGGTGGACGGCGTCGTGGCCTCCTGCTTTGCCCTGGTGGAGGAGCAGGCCTTGGCCCAGCTGGCCTTCTGGCCCCTGCGGCTCTACCATGGCCTGGTCGGGGCATCCTACGGCCAGCCCGAGGGGCTGCACTGGTACTCGGGGCTGCTCTACCACCTGGGCCGCCTGCTGCTGCCCCCGGAGAGCTTCCACCCCCTGGGCACGGCCCCGCTGCACAGCTGAGGGCACACGGGCGAGGACGGAGCCACCGCTGCCACGAGGCTCCTGGCTCTCCCACATCCGGGCTGCAAAAGGGCCCGGACATGCCGGGCACGGAGATGGCAGCCCTCCACCCCGGCTGGACCTAGTATCAGCCGGAGCACGCTCGGGACTTGGGTCCCCTGGGCTCTGGATCCGGGGACATGGATGGCTCAAGGCAGCCTGGCCCGGCGGGGCTTGGTGCGCCAGGCCCCCACAGCTGCGGGGATGCTCCTGGCTGGCTCCACATGCTGCTATTTTGCTGCAACATTAACTGAGGACTGAGTGAACGGCCAAGCCACGCTGAGGCCGGAGAGGCCCCGATCCTAGGCAGCTCACACGTGGTGGAGGCGATGGGGACCTTCATTGCCCCCAGGCTGCAGGGGGGCAGCAGCTGACACCAAGGCAGCTTCCAGGGGCTGGGGATGACCCCACTGCCCCAGCAGGACCCCGGGGCCCAGGAGCAGGTGGGGGTCACAGCAGGGGCAGCTCTGGCTGCAGGGAGGAAGCCGGTTGGGGGTAACCCCCAGGGCCCCCCACCCACCAGGCCAGCCTGGGGTCACGCGCACGGCAGGGGGGGACGAGGAGCTTCCCCACCACAGTCCTGTCTCCATTGCTGGGCTCCCACCCAGCCCCCGGCCTCCAACCCGCAACCCTCGGGGTCATTCCTTGCTGCTCTCCCCGGAGCGGGGAGCAGGGCGCCTCCTGCTGGCAGCCTCCTGCTCCCGGCTCAGCTGGGGGGGGCAGGGGGGGTGACCCCAGTCCCTGCCGCAGCAGACGCCCTTATTTATTGATCTGCTCTTGGGAAGCCCTGGGAAGCTATGGGGGCCGGGGCAGGGGAGGGGTGGCCGGCCAGGCCGGGGTTTAAAGCCCACGGGCGGGCGCAGCGCAGCTGTTGCGGGGACGGAGGCGTTGGCGCGTGTCTGTTGTCTCTTCACTGGATGGACGTTGGGACGAGTCCAATAAATCTCTTGACCCACCGGTTCCAGCCCGTCCTTCTCGGGGGGAGGTGGAGCTGGGGGAGGCTCCCACAGCCCCCCAGTCCGAGTGGCCACCAGGCTTGGAGGCTTCGTGCACCTGCCCGGTGTGGGGTGGCACCGTGGGGCCGTGGCCTGGCCCGCCAGCGCCAGGCACTGATGATAGGCCCGGGGTGAGGACAGGGCTGGGCAGCAGAGCCTGGCATAGCCGGGGGAGCCAGACCCAGGCTGCCACGGGAGGCAGTTGGCTGATTCGGGGCCTGGGTTTAAGCGGGGACAAAAGCCCTGAACTGGGGTCTGCTCGGGGGGTGGGGTGGGGGGGCAGCCTGGGACAGCACAGGCATCCAGTCCAGACCCCAGCGCGCCAGGATCGCCCACCCACCCCTGTCCTCCCATCCTCCCGTCCGCCCAAGGCGGCTGTGGGGGCGGCTGTCTTTATGAGAAGGTCACAGCCCCTGAGCTCAGGACCAAGCTGGATCCTTTGGGAGGGCTGATCTGACCCAGGGCTGGTGCCAGCGCCCCCAGGCCAGGAGCTACCATTCAGCCCCCGCTGCCCGGGGCCTGCCCCCATCCCCTCACCTGTGTCCAAAGTGTCTCTTGCCTGGGAGCACCTGCAGTGTCGCGGATCGTGGCGTGAGGCCGGGGGTGCCCCGCAGAGGGAGAAACAGCCCTCAGATGGGCTGTGACCCCCCAGATATGGGCCTGGACCTTGTGGAGAAGGCCAGAGCCCCCCCAGTCTTGCTGGGCCAGGGGATGCACAGGCCACCCCCGACTGCCGACCTCTAAACCAACAGGCCCCACG